CTCTCTCTCTCTCTCTCTCTCTCTCTCTCTCTCTCTCTCTCTCTCTCTCTCTCTCTCTCTCTCTCTCTCTCTCTCTCTCTCTCTTTTTCTTTTTTCTTTTTTGCACACCTCCCTCCTCCCCCTTGTGCAACCTTGCAACCTCCTCCTCCTCCAGTTGGCACAAACACCTCCCCCTAGCACAACCTCCTCCCACCAGTGTGACCTCCTCCCACTCCCGCATGACCTCCGGCAACCTCTTGTCCCCATTGTGCGACCTGCTCCTGCCCCTCCAACGATTTCCTCCTTCCGTTTGCACGACCCACTCCTCCCCCTCCTCGGACCTTCTCCTCCCCCTTGTGCAACCTCCTCCTCCCCCTCGCGCGACCTCCTCCCCGTCCTTGCACAGCATGCTCTTCCCCCTTGCAGATTGTGTTCGGACCTCCTCCTCCCCCTCACATCGGCCAAGGCATCAGCACGCCGTTAGATGATTTGTAAATTAGAACTATTTTATTGTGGTCGCCGGTGGATTCGAGGTCGCGTCTGAAATTCAACAGTTTCATGTGTGCATCAACTGAGCAAAATGAGAAGGAATCTTCCGCAAGAACTAGGAAGATACACCGCGACGGACAGATACATTGAAAAGAAATCCCCGTGTGTGTATGGACTAAGGAGCTGTCAGATGCAAACTACACGTGTGTGTTATGATCCTGGCCAATTTCGAGATACACATTCATCAGATAGTACAATGCCGTCCACTTGCAAAAAGAAATGAATGAACTTGAGAGGAGAGAGAGGGGTAGAAGAAGACGAAGTAGAAAGAAAGAAGAAGAAGATGATGTACACCAGCATAGACCAATGAGAATGCTCTTCTTCTTCGTCAATCACTCTCCTCCTCCTTATCTCCTCCTCTCTTATTCACACAAGACATAATAATACAATGTTGAATGGCTGAACCAGAATCAATGTCCAAATCCCTCTTCTACTGCAGGTAACACTTGAGGTCCATCATAGCCATGGCCGCCTCCCTCAGCCTTCACTCTCATAGGCCGAGACTATTGCGGACTACTCGGCCTTGCCCAGATGCCCAAAGGACAACCCAAAGCAGCTATGGCTGCTCTAGCTCAGGCTGCCCTGCCTGACTCTGCCTCGAAGCTTCTTGGTGTAGCTCTACCCCAGCTTGGGCCTTCCTGCTGCCGCGCCCACCAAGGTGATGAAGATGGCTGCCACCATAGCCAGGTAAGTACCTCTGGCGCTCCTCCCTAGCCCTGGCCTTCTTCCTCCTCCGTGTCCTTGCTCCTTCCCCAGCAGCGATGCTGAGTGCTAGCGCTGTTTCAGCCAGCGCTCCAACCAGTGTGTCGCCAAACTTGCACACCAACAATGAGGCTGGGCTCTTCGCTCGGCCTGGAGATATAGTGGCCTGCTTGCCTCTTGGGCGGTGACTTCCAGGCCGCTCGGCCTTCCAAGCAACTGGTAGCTCCTCYCTTTCGGAGGGAAACATCATTGCAGACTCTGATATTGCCCGTACAGGCCCTAGACTCAGACTGGTTGGACTGGTACCCG